GAGCCGCAGGTTGCCGACCCCTGGTCTAGTGCAAGGTCCTTGGGTCTAGTAGTTGTTTGATATCCGAAGAAGAGACGTCGATCGTAGCTTATTAAATACAAAATTCATTTTATTAACATCTGTTTTATTATTGATTTTACTTATTATTAGCATTCAGTTTTTCGCAAATTTCATTTATTAAGTTTTTAGTTTACGTATTTATTTCGTTAGGATTATTTCATATTTTTGTGTGTGTACCGGCAGAAAATGTAAATCCATATTATAAATATGATTCCCTAGCAGACCCCGCCACGCTTTGTTGTGGCTCAAAATGTATCTGTTATAAATGCATAACACTTCCCCCCCGGGGGGGGAATTTTTCGAAAAATTTCTTCTTAGTGTACATTCTCTTGACGTACCCTATTAAAACGAAATCAAAAACGCAAAAACCCGCATCTAAAATAGTATAAATAGAAGCAGAGTTCTTTACGGTAAGCCTTAATCCTGTCCATCTCCTCCCAGTGGGGGGAATTTCGACACGTATATTATATAAAAACGCGCGTATTCGAATGCAGCGTTGTGTCAAAATTTCAAAGGAGTCAGTAGGAACAAACGAACATTACATTTTTATTTATATAGATAGACAGAAGATGATCTGCTTTAGTTCATTTTCACAGAAAAGCATAATGCCTCGCAGAAAAGCAAACTTAGGGCGTCGTACTTATAGCGCCATCTGTTGGACATAAAAGCCTTAACCTAGATTATATATTTTAATTTAATTTATATGAATGTTTAACGGAATAATATACAGCCTATGTCCACCCTGAAGTTCCATTCTAAATATTGGTGAAAGAATTTTTGAAATCGGATGAGTAGTTTCAGAGCTGCATACAAACTTACATACAAACATTACCTCTTTATAATATTAGTATAGATAAAGAGGAAGAGATTGACAGATTTCAAGATCACCAGCTTGTTCATGGGGAAGAAGTTTTATCATTGTTAATGTAAAACTTCAGAACACTTGAATGCCACTTGTTATAATCCTAGATGGTAAAACTTACAGAAAATAGTTTTTTGTTTACTTTAATTTATTAAAATACATTAAATTAGGAAAAGTTTAAGTTTTTTGAAAGATGTCCTTTTTAAATAAAAATAATGGTTGAACAATTACTTTATTAATAAATTATCAACCATATAATAGCATAACCTGATTGTTTATCTGTACTCTTGGTTGTATTATATAATGCTTAGGGTAAGTCTATATTATTTCTAACTTAATAGGTTTAAATATGTTTACATTGGTATACTGTACCTCTAAAAATTTTAGTTATATATCACTTGAACTTGAAATTTAAAAAAAATTACTTTTTAACAATTCTTTGAAGTTCTTTAGATCTAAATTTGATCATTAATTTCACTTATAGATGATTTAACTTAGTCTTTTTTTGTAATAGAATTTACAAACATCTAACACTCACCTAAATGATCAGGCTACAATTCCGATCATAGCCCAATCATTTAGGCGATCGTTGGATGTTTCTATATACTTATTGCGTTTTGTATGTTTGGTATACTTGTAATAGAATTTATAACTTCTAAATAAAACATGTTTAGGAATAAGAATGAATTAAGTATCATTGAAGAAGTATAACAATTTATATTATGATGCTGAAGGAACTTAAAATAATAATCAAATACAGTACCTAAAAATAATCAAGTACAGTACTGTATACATAGGCATATGGTATCTAATTAGCTTATTTTACAGTTTGTTTGTTATTTTCCAAATTTCTCCTTAAATATTGAAAATAATGCTTTTTATTCCAGTAGGTCTATGCTACAAATGTTTGGCAAGCAATGCATATTTTGATAAAATACATGCTTTAAAATTAATTTTATTTGACAAAAACTATGATGGCACATACAATCTCTACAGTGACTAATGCAGTAAATAAATCCAAAATGGCTGACAAACCTATTCAGAATATCTAGGTGCTCTAGTTTTCTGCTTGCTTGTTGTTCTAATTTTTTCTTACTAGGCATTTTTATTTAATAATAATAGATTTGCTTCTCTTATGCTGTATTCACTTTGCTCTTTGTATTAGTTCCTTTTGTATTGGTGAATTATCAAGCCAATACTCATTTTATTTATTTTGTTTCATTTTTGAAATTATTACTTGATAGGTAAGTAATGCTTTAAAGCACTTTAGTGTTACTTTGGGAATGAGTAAAATGATTGGGTTAACAAAGTACAAAATTTTGCAAGAACATAGTACAAATTTTGATCATATTTAATGGATAAGGTCATTCCTATTTAAGATTGTTTTACAAGAGGTTTTTAAGAGCATGCAAGCTATGCTGACAAATCAAGGTTATTTTACACTATATTATTAAGAATCCAGTGCTGTTAAAGATTTAAAAATTAAAAATCTCTGACAATGGATGAAGTTTGAAAATGGACTGTTAAGACCTCAATTAAATTGCAGTTAACTTGTAAACTAAATTTATAATTTAATGTGAAAAAGATTATTAATAAAATTATTTTCAAACTAGCTGTACCTGGCCACATGTTGTTTGGCTCAAAATGTATCTATTATAAATGTAATACACTCCCCACAGGAGGGAATTTCAAAAAATCTTTTCTTGGTGTACATTCTCTTGACGTACCCTATTAAAACGCACTCAAAAATGCAAATAATTGCATCTAAAATAGTATAATAGAAGTCGAGTTCTTCACGGTAAGCCTAAATTTTGACATCTATATAATAATATATAATATACAAGTTCGGACACATGCACTGCATATCATGCCACTGTGCCGCACGTTACCTATCTCGTATATGTTTGCGTCTTGACCCTTGCCACCTTCTGACACCAAAAATATAATGTTTACCTAGATCCTTTTAATTTATATGTTTAACATATAAATTAAAAGGAATAATATACAGACTATGTCCACCCTGAAGTTCCATTCTAAATATTGGTGAAAGAATTTTTGAAATCGGATGAGTAGTTTTGAAGATTACCTCCTACATACAAACTTACAAACTCTACCACTTTATAATATTAGTATAGAAGAAGCCCAAAGAACAATAAATGTACATGTCAAAATTAAGACCACCTTTAAATCGATTATGCAAGGTTTTCATTGTTGTAATAAATAAACGTATACATAATAAAAAATATGTATTCAAAAGCAAAATTATATGTGCATAACTCAGAGTTATTTCATTTAAAATGAAATTTGTTTTAAAATCAAAAATGTGTCTGTAATTGCCCATATTTAGTTCAAATTATTTTAACTTAGAACTACCAAGACATTGGGCAGGTTTCTAAAGGCAGTTATTGTGCCACTTATAAATGCAAATCAATGTTAATTGCTTTTATTATGTAAATGAAAATTATTAATTTAAATAACTATTGTTGTTCTTTAAAATAGCAGCAAGTTACAACAATACTGTTTTATTTAATTTATAAAAAATATAGACAAAAGAATTAGGTTAAATAGCAAGTAATATAGCGATATAATGTTTACAAATTCAACTTTAAATCGTGTGACTTTTTTTTTCCTGCGGAAATTTGTGCAGTGAAAAATTTAATTATAGGTTCAAGTGTGCTGTGAGATTAAAAAGGTTGAAAAACACTGGGATACAAAATAAATCTTAATTTTTTTGCTTTATTTGAGCTACATTACATTTTTTTTACCCAAAACTTTTCATTTCTGTGTTGGACAGGTTTCTTGTTTATAGTAAAATTTAACATAGAAAATCACTCCATTTCAAATAATTTTTCATTTAGACAGATTTCCATTTTTTCAGGTTCTGTTTTAGACAGGTTTTATTGTATAATATTTAACATTTACATAAATGAAGAAGAGAGAAAATATGAAAATGTAAATACTTAAACTACATTTACTATATGTTGGCTGCATACTGTCGATTGTAATTTTGTTATTTTTAATGAAGCAATAGCACAAATTAATATCATTATTGGCAATCCTTAACTTTTTAAGAATTTGTTGGGACAATGGCAGACCTTTATTGAACATGTTTGTTTGTCATATCCCCAATGTTTAAACAATGAGGAGCTGGACTATATTAATCAGAAATGACACGATGTTTGCCAGATATTGTTGTCTAACTCCATTTACTCTGGTCAGCCCCAGATTCTGGATTAAAACATATAGAATTTGCAACAGGAAGGGCTTCCAATTATAAAATGAAACCAAATAAGGATAAAGCAGTGACTCCCACAGAAAATGGAACTGGAAATTGAAATTGGCAATTTAAAAGCCAATTCCTACTCCAGTATTAAACCATTTTCAAATACATGGCATAAATGAAATAGCATTCATGCTAATTTAAAAATCAAAAATTAAATATATCCGTGATGTGGTGCAATCTATTAAAACATACTTTAAGTCAGAAAAGTAAATTATATTTTACTTAGTCTTTAATTTTTAATTTCAACAAGATGCCAAGTTTTCTCCTTTTTGTTTTTTCAGTTAAGCTGATTTATTATTTGTTTTATAGAATAGTGAATGAAACATCAGGATGTTAAATAACATGTAATCATTTTTTTTCTAGGGTTATCCTAAAGAAATCTTAAAAGTTATTTATAATGGACATTATGTTGATAACCAGTGTACAGTTGCAAACAATGGCATTGTTCACATCTCCCTCACATTGCTGGGAGGGAAAGGAGGTGAGTCTTAACTGTTTATATTCTTTCCATGTTACTTATTTTTATTTATAGTTTATTCCTTGTATAAATTGATTTAAAAGTTGCTTAATAAAAATTTGTAAGGACTTTCATTGAAGATCAAAACGTTCTTATAAGAAAAGAGTTAGATATTTATTTTCTACTATGTTACTTTATTTAGGATTCGGTTCTATGTTACGAGCTATTGGGGCCCAGATAGAGAAAACAACAAATAGAGAAGCCTGTAGAGATCTGAGTGGAAGAAGGTTAAGAGATATTAATGAAGAACAGAGATTAAAGAGATGGATTGCTAAAAAAGCAGAACGTGAGAGAGAAGCAGCAGAAAGAAGAAAAAAGAAACTAGAGAAGTTACGTTGTCCTCCAAAACACGATTTTCATGATTCTGAATATGACAGGGAAAGAAGGGATATGGCAGAACGTATTGATGATGCACTTACACATGGTAAGATTTAGTTAAGTTTATTTCTGTAATAAAATTTTTATTTCTACACTGATCTTTCATACACTCTTTTTGTTCAAGTTAATTACAAAAAAATAGATAAATTAAGTGAATATTAAATATTCTTAAGTGAAGAATTTTTCATTTAAATAATAGCCAGTAAATAGCCATCTGTTTAAGATTTTGATTAGTGAGATTACAAAATAACATTAAATTTTCATTTATTTTATTTTGGAGATATAGTGAAGCCTTGAAACTCTGGACTATTCAATCTGTCTGGATTTTCAAATATGTGTAATGTAAGTTAACATATCAAATGCTGTAAATGCTAAATAAACTGATTCAAGTTTGGTGTTCTAATTTCAAGTCAGTATTTCACAAAAAATGTAGAAGGTCAGATTCAAAGTATAATTTACAGGATCACTATTATATACCTGAAAACGTTCCTCCAAAATTAGAGATTCTCTTAGATTAGAATGGTAAAAAAATGGAACACTTAATAATTGCTGTGCCATACACTTACCTTATCTCCAGCATGCCACAAAATATTTCTGACTAAATCATGTTTGTGAACTGATATAATGTATATTTAACATTGAAATTAGTACTTCTAGTAGTATAATAATAAAAATCCTATATAAATGAACACTACACTGTTTGCTGTTTCCAGCTACTGATATATCAGTGCAGTAAGACATCACTACTGTTAATGCACAGTGTAAGGCATATGCTTTCATATAGTGTATGTAACAGGACTATCATAATGTTACGATGTGTAAACTATCGTGTACTATATACAAAATCCAATTTCAAATTTAGCCTACAATATCTTTGGGAATTGATTTAAATAACAGGTTTAGGTGTAAATCAGAATTTTTGCTGAAAATCTTGAGGTTGACTTATAAGCCAGCATATTTAATAACCTGTTGACAATATCTAGTTGTTAGAAAAAATTTAAAAAGAAAATATAGGAAAAAATTAATCTTTTTATGCTTATCTTACAAAATGGTAAATTTTAGACTTCTGATAACATCAAATAAGAAATTTCCAGATTACGAACGTTATTTTGATGTTTGTCTTACAGAAGATATGAAAATCTGATCTGTTATTCTTGTCAAGTATTATGTTGAATGTGAAGTTCTGTAATATGCTGTATATGACATAATATTCAAATCATTAATCAAAAATTTAGTAGAATTAATATTTAAAAATTTTATTAAAAAATTGAGAAATTGTAATTTATTGTTTTTAGTTGCATACTGTAGTTATGAGTGTTTAAAATATCAATTTAAGATTTCATATTCACTCTTAAATAATTCTTAAAAATTCAATTGTAGATTCTGTTTTATAATTTTAATTATTTAATTATGAATTTTATAATTCATAAACACATTAATTCATATTAGTAATCTAGTATTGATGTAGTTTATTAAGTTGATTTTATTGTTTTAGGACTTAAAACATCCAACAAAAGAAAACCAGATGATGAATTAGCTGTTCCAAAGAAGAAATGTTTATGGTAAGTTTTTATAAACTAAGATTTGTTTATTTAAAAAATACGTTACGAAATATACATTTTGATACATCAAATTTTTCAAAACTTTGTNTGTATATATATATTTTTTAATCCTTTATAATTTTAATTATTTAATTGCTCCTTCCTCTCTTCCTTGGCACGTTGTGAAATTTCTGATAGTTGGATAATAAACCGTTTTATTGTAATTTGTCTTTTTAAATTATTTTGAGTCGATATTAAAATTTGGGAAAGGGGGATGCCTTGATCGGTAAAATACGCGAATTTCTTCCTACAACTTCGGTTGCTGTTCGGAGTACAGTTAAGGTTTTAATGAAGTTCGAGCGAATACGTAATTAGCAAAAAAAAGTTAAAATAAATTGATTAAACAAAAATTATTGCAAATATCGTAAATAACAGTTCACAAATGCATATATAGAGATATTTTTTGAAAGGGGGGAAATGATCTTCACAATTTGAAATGATCGAACACAGTGCTCGAATGCTCGTGTAAACGCGCGCCATCTATCGTAGGATAAATGCCAGAAACCTTCGCGGGAGTGTATTAAAAAAACTTCCCAAAGCTTCATGGCAAACGTACTACGCAAGAAACCTTCGCGGGAATATATTAAACAACTTCCCAATGTTTCACGGTAATCGGATAAACGGTGTGGTAATGCATGAAGGACGAACAGACACACACACACACACACACACATTTATTTTTATATATATAGATTTGAAAAAAATTGATCTGTCATCAATTTTTCTGCGACCCCCCCAAATATTTTTCACGACCCACCTGGGGGTCGCGACCCCCACTTTGAGAATCACTGCTCTAAACAGAGGGAATAACTTGGCTGACGCACTGGTGAACAGACACAGGTAGTACGACGCACTAGTGTAGTACTACTGCACTGAACATTAAGAGAGCAATGGAGAAAAATAAAGGTACAGGGGCACTTACAGATATTCTTTCTTGTAAATGTGTGGAGAAAGTCCAACCTGATAGTCCGGGATGCGTGTCGAGAAAGAAGTCTATGAAAATGATGAGCAAAGTAACCAAAAGTGTGTGAACACCAGAAGTCCCAAAGTCAGTTGTCTGTATGTGTTCTGGCAGTTCCGAGGCATGGCAAAACGCTAGCCAACATGGTGGTACTCCCAAAATCCAACCCACTCTCCTGTGTGGATTCTGATATGATAACTTAAACCCTGTTTACTAGCGAACGACTTATCACAAATCTTGCATTTGTAGGTCATTCTATCAACAAAGAATATATATATATATATATTTTTTTTTTCTTAGTCTTATTTTTATTTTCAATTTCTGTCACAAGCGTCTAGCGACCGGGCGCGTTCCAACTTACTCTGATAGAGGCTCTCTCTGTCGGCCATTTTTGGAGGTAATAAACTTGTGTACAGTAACCCCGCGTTTCTTTATGCAGCGCTCGAGAAGCGCTTTACAGCGAACACACTGAAACTGGTTTCTAATTGGCCAATACTGCTCGTGACGTCATTTCGCTACACTCTCGCTGCATAAAGAAACGCGGGGTTTGCAATCGGTCTACTGCAAGTAGACCGATTGCTTACTGTTACACGAGTAGTAGTTTGTTTGATATCCGGCGACGTCGATCGTAGCTTATTAAATACAAAATTCATTTTATTAACATCTGTTTTATTATTGATTTTACTTATTATTAGCATTCAGTTTTTCGCAAATTTCATTTATTAAGTTTTTAGTTTACGTATTTATTTCGTTAGGATTATTTCATATTTTTGTGTGTGTACCGGCAGAAAATGTAAATCCATATTATAAATATGATTCCCTAGCAGACCCCGCCACGCTTTGTTGTGGCTCAAAATGTATCTGTTATAAATGCATAACACTTCCCCCGTGGGGGGGGAATTTTTCGAAAAATTTCTTCTTAGTGTACATTCTCTTGACGTACCCTATTAAAACGAAATCAAAAACGCAAAAACCCGCATCTAAAATAGTATAAATAGAAGCAGAGTTCTTTACGGTAAGCCTTAATCCTGTCCATCTCCTCCCAGTGGGGGGAATTTCGACACGTATATTATATAAAAACGCGCGTATTCGAATGCAGCGTTGTGTCAAAATTTCAAAGGAGTCAGTAGGAACAAACGAACATTACATTTTTATTTATATAGATAGACAGAAGATGATCTGCTTTAGTTCATTTTCACAGAAAAGCATAATGCCTCGCAGAAAAGCAAACTTAGGGCGTCGTACTTATAGCGCCATCTGTTGGACATAAAAGCCTTAACCTAGATTATATATTTTAATTTAATTTATATGAATGTTTAACGGAATAATATACAGCCTATGTCCACCCTGAAGTTCCATTCTAAATATTGGTGAAAGAATTTTTGAAATCGGATGAGTAGTTTCAGAGCTGCATACAAACTTACATACAAACATTACCTCTTTATAATATTAGTATAGATAAAGAGGAAGAGATTGACAGATTTCAAGATCACCAGCTTGTTCATGGGGAAGAAGTTTTATCATTGTTAATGTAAAACTTCAGAACACTTGAATGCCACTTGTTATAATCCTAGATGGTAAAACTTACAGAAAATAGTTTTTTGTTTACTTTAATTTATTAAAATACATTAAATTAGGAAAAGTTTAAGTTTTTTGAAAGATGTCCTTTTTAAATAAAAATAATGGTTGAACAATTACTTTATTAATAAATTATCAACCATATAATAGCATAACCTGATTGTTTATCTGTACTCTTGGTTGTATTATATAATGCTTAGGGTAAGTCTATATTATTTCTAACTTAATAGGTTTAAATATGTTTACATTGGTATACTGTACCTCTAAAAATTTTAGTTATATATCACTTGAACTTGAAATTTAAAAAAAATTACTTCTTAACAATTCTTTGAAGTTCTTTAGATCTAAATTTGATCATTAATTTCACTTATAGATGATTTAACTTAGTCTTTTTTTGTAATAGAATTTACAAACATCTAACACTCACCTAAATGATCAGGCTACAATTCCGATCATAGCCCAATCATTTAGGCGATCGTTGGATGTTTCTATATACTTATTGCGTTTTGTATGTTTGGTATACTTGTAATAGAATTTATAACTTCTAAATAAAACATGTTTAGGAATAAGAATGAATTAAGTATCATTGAAGAAGTATAACAATTTATATTATGATGCTGAAGGAACTTAAAATAATAATCAAATACAGTACCTAAAAATAATCAAGTACAGTACTGTATACATAGGCATATGGTATCTAATTAGCTTATTTTACAGTTTGTTTGTTATTTTCCAAATTTCTCCTTAAATATTGAAAATAATGCTTTTTATTCCAGTAGGTCTATGCTACAAATGTTTGGCAAGCAATGCATATTTTGATAAAATACATGCTTTAAAATTAATTTTATTTGACAAAAACTATGATGGCACATACAATCTCTACAGTGACTAATGCAGTAAATAAATCCAAAATGGCTGACAAACCTATTCAGAATATCTAGGTACTCTAGTTTTCTGCTTGCTTGTTGTTCTAATTTTTTCTTACTAGGCATTTTTATTTAATAATAATAGATTTGCTTCTCTTATGCTGTATTCACTTTGCTCTTTGTATTAGTTCCTTTTGTATTGGTGAATTATCAAGCCAATACTCATTTTATTTATTTTGTTTCATTTTTGAAATTATTACTTGATAGGTAAGTAATGCTTTAAAGCACTTTAGTGTTACTTTGGGAATGAGTAAAATGATTGGGTTAACAAAGTACAAAATTTTGCAAGAACATAGTACAAATTTTGATCATATTTAATGGATAAGGTCATTCCTATTTAAGATTGTTTTACAAGAGGTTTTTAAGAGCATGCAAGCTATGCTGACAAATCAAGGTTATTTTACACTATATTATTAAGAATCCAGTGCTGTTAAAGATTTAAAAATTAAAAATCTCTGACAATGGATGAAGTTTGAAAATGGACTGTTAAGACCTCAATTAAATTGCAGTTAACTTGTAAACTAAATTTATAATTTAATGTGAAAAAGATTATTAATAAAATTATTTTCAAACTAGCTGTACCTGGCCACATGTTGTTTGGCTCAAAATGTATCTATTATAAATGTAATACACTCCCCACAGGAGGGAATTTCAAAAAATCTTTTCTTGGTGTACATTCTCTTGACGTACCCTATTAAAACGCACTCAAAAATGCAAATAATTGCATCTAAAATAGTATAATAGAAGTCGAGTTCTTCACGGTAAGCCTAAATTTTGACATCTATATAATAATATACAAGTTCAGACACATGCACTGCATATCACGCCACTGTGCCGCAAGTTACCTATCTCGTATATGTTTGCGTCTTGACCCTTGCCACCTTCTGACACCAAAAATATAATGTTTACCTAGATCCTTTTAATTTATATGTTTAACATATAAATTAAAAGGAATAATATACAGACTATGTCCACCCTGAAGTTCCATTCTAAATATTGGTGAAAGAATTTTTGAAATCGGATGAGTAGTTTTGAAGATTACCTCCTACATACAAACTTACAAACTCTACCACTTTATAATATTAGTATAGAAGAAGCCCAAAGAACAATTAATGTACATGTCAAAATTAAGACCACCTTTAAATCGATTATGCAAGGTTTTCATTGTTGTAATAAATAAACGTATACATAATAAAAAATATGTATTCAAAAGCAAAATTATATGTGCATAACTCAGAGTTATTTCATTTAAAATGAAATTTGTTTTAAAATCAAAAATGTGTCTGTAATTGCCCATATTTAGTTCAAATTATTTTAACTTAGAACTACCAAGACATTGGGCAGGTTTCTAAAGGCAGTTATTGTGCCACTTATAAATGCAAATCAATGTTAATTGCTTTTATTATGTAAATGAAAATTATTAATTTAAATAACTATTGTTGTTCTTTAAAATAGCAGCAAGTTACAACAATACTGTTTTATTTAATTTATAAAAAATATAGACAAAAGAATTAGGTTAAATAGCAAGTAATATAGCGATATAATGTTTACAAATTCAACTTTAAATCGTGTGACTTTTTTTTTCCTGCGGAAATTTGTGCAGTGAAAAATTTAATTATAGGTTCAAGTGTGCTGTGAGATTAAAAAGGTTGAAAAACACTGGGATACAAAATAAATCTTAATTTTTTTGCTTTATTTGAGCTACATTACATTTTTTTTACCCAAAACTTTTCATTTCTGTGTTGGACAGGTTTCTTGTTTATAGTAAAATTTAACATAGAAAATCACTCCATTTCAAATAATTTTTCATTTAGACAGATTTCCATTTTTTCAGGTTCTGTTTTAGACAGGTTTTATTGTATAATATTTAACATTTACATAAATGAAGAAGAGAGAAAATATGAAAATGTAAATACTTAAACTACATTTACTATATGCTTGGCTGCATACTGTCGATTGTAATTTTGTTATTTTTAATGAAGCAATAGCACAAATTAATATCATTATTGGCAATCCTTAACTTTTTAAGAATTTGTTGGGACAATGGCAGACCTTTATTGAACATGTTTGTTTGTCATATCCCCAATGTTTAAACAATGAGGAGCTGGACTATATTAATCAGAAATGACACGATGTTTGCCAGATATTGTTGTCTAACTCCATTTACTCTGGTCAGCCCCAGATTCTGGATTAAAACATATAGAATTTGCAACAGGAAGGGCTTCCAATTATAAAATGAAACCAAATAAGGATAAAGCAGTGACTCCCACAGAAAATGGAACTGGAAATTGAAATTGGCAATTTAAAAGCCAATTCCTACTCCAGTATTAAACCATTTTCAAATACATGGCATAAATGAAATAGCATTCATGCTAATTTAAAAATCAAAAATTAAATATATCCGTGATGTGGTGCAATCTATTAAAACATACTTTAAGTCAGAAAAGTAAATTATATTTTACTTAGTCTTTAATTTTTAATTTCAACAAGATGCCAAGTTTTCTCCTTTTTGTTTTTTCAGTTAAGCTGATTTATTATTTGTTTTATAGAATAGTGAATGAAACATCAGGATGTTAAATAACATGTAATCATTTTTTTTCTAGGGTTATCCTAAAGAAATCTTAAAAGTTATTTATAATGGACATTATGTTGATAACCAGTGTACAGTTGCAAACAATGGCATTGTTCACATCTCCCTCACATTGCTGGGAGGGAAAGGAGGTGAGTCTTAACTGTTTATATTCTTTCCATGTTACTTATTTTTATTTATAGTTTATTCCTTGTATAAATTGATTTAAAAGTTGCTTAATAAAAATTTGTAAGGACTTTCATTGAAGATCAAAACGTTCTTATAAGAAAAGAGTTAGATATTTATTTTCTACTATGTTACTTTATTTAGGATTCGGTTCTATGTTACGAGCTATTGGGGCCCAGATAGAGAAAACAACAAATAGAGAAGCCTGTAGAGATCTGAGTGGAAGAAGGTTAAGAGATATTAATGAAGAACAGAGATTAAAGAGATGGATTGCTAAAAAAGCAGAACGTGAGAGAGAAGCAGCAGAAAGAAGAAAAAAGAAACTAGAGAAGTTACGTTGTCCTCCAAAACACGATTTTCATGATTCTGAATATGACAGGGAAAGAAGGGATATGGCAGAACGTATTGATGATGCACTTACACATGGTAAGATTTAGTTAAATTTATTTCTGTAATAAAATTTTTATTTCTACACTGATCTTTCATACACTCTTTTTGTTCAAGTTAATTACAAAAAAATAGATAAATTAAGTGAATATTAAATATTCTTAAGTGAAGAATTTTTCATTTAAATAATAGCCAGTAAATAGCCATCTGTTTAAGATTTTGATTAGTGAGATTACAAAATAACATTAAATTTTCATTTATTTTATTTTGGAGATATAGTGAAGCCTTGAAACTCTGGACTATTCAATCTGTCTGGATTTTCAAATATGTGTAATGTAAGTTAACATATCAAATGCTGTAAATGCTAAATAAACTGATTCAAGTTTGGTGTTCTAATTTCAAGTCAGTATTTCACAAAAAATGTAGAAGGTCAGATTCAAAGTATAATTTACAGGATCACTATTATATACCTGAAAACGTTCCTCCAAAATTAGAGATTCTCTTAGATTAGAATGGTAAAAAAATGGAACACTTAATAATTGCTGTGCCATACACTTACCTTATCTCCAGCATGCCACAAAATATTTCTGACTAAATCATGTTTGTGAACTGATATAATGTATATTTAACATTGAAATTAGTACTTCTAGTAGTATAATAATAAAAATCCTATATAAATGAACACTACACTGTTTGCTGTTTCCAGCTACTGATATATCAGTGCAGTAAGACATCACTACTGTTAATGCACAGTGTAAGGCATATGCTTTCATATAGTGTATGTAACAGGACTATCATAATGTTACGATGTGTAAACTATCGTGTACTATATACAAAATCCAATTTCAAATTTAGCCTACAATATCTTTGGGAATTGATTTAAATAACAGGTTTAGGTGTAAATCAGAATTTTTAGCTGAAAATCTTGAGGTTGACTTATAAGCCAGCATATTTAATAACCTGTTGACAATATCTAGTTGTTAGAAAAAATTTAAAAAGAAAATATAGGAAAAAATTAATCTTTTTATGCTTATCTTACAAAATGGTAAATTTTAGACTTCTGATAACATCAAATAAGAAATTTCCAGATTACGAACGTTATTTTGATGTTTGTCTTACAGAAGATATGAAAATCTGATCTGTTATTCTTGTCAAGTATTATGTTGAATGTGAAGTTCTGTAATATGCTGTATATGACATAATATTCAAATCATTAATCAAAAATTTAGTAGAATTAATATTTAAAAATTTTATTAAAAAATTGAGAAATTGTAATTTATTGTTTTTAGTTGCATACTGTAGTTATGAGTGTTTAAAATATCAATTTAAGATTTCATATTCACTCTTAAATAATTCTTAAAAATTCAATTGTAGATTCTGTTTTATAATTTTAATTATTTAATTATGAATTTTATAATTCATAAACACATTAATTCATATTAGTAATCTAGTATTGATGTAGTTTATTAAGTTGATTTTATTGTTTTAGGACTTAAAACATCCAACAAAAGAAAACCAGATGATGAATTAGCTGTTCCAAAGAAGAAATGTTTATGGTAAGTTTTTATAAACTAAGATTTGTTTATTTAAAAAATACGTTACGAAATATACATTTTGATACATCAAATTTTTCAAAACTTTGTTTTATTTAAAATCTCATTTACAAGGTAGTCAAAAGTAAATTTAACTAGTGGAAATCACCCTCAGCACAAAAGTAGCAAATACTTCAACACTTTATTTGCTGAGAAACTTTAATCCTTCATGGATATTTTCGAACTACTCTACACTTGATGTTGATTTATAGTGGGTCAAAAATGTTCATGAGGGATTAAAGTGTTTTCAATTGGACTTTTGGCTTTAGTTTAGTATACACGCACACAATTTTCATTTTTTGATGGTGCAATCAATAGTGACAAGGTCAGAATAACAAACATAACATTTTATTAAATGTAAATTGAAGCAGAGCCGTATGCACTAGAGATTGTTCATTAATGAATGTTGCCATGACCATATAACTAGTCTTTTTTTTTCTTGCCTTTTGTTGCACATAACACAAAGTTCTAACATTTCTTGGTGATTAACAGTTTCCTTCCTGAGAATACACACCTCCAACTTACCAGCATCTGTACCATTTGTGAAAACAGCCCTAGAAGTCAGTTCTATAATGTCTTCAAAGGTATTTTTGGGGCTTCCAGTTCTTTTGTTTGGAATTCATGACCTTTCAATCTCTTGTTTTAGAGAATAGATGAAAATCTTGTGGGGCAAGATCTCATTTGATCATTTTTATTTATTATTTTTCTGTAGCAGGTGCAGGTCTTTCCAAATAGGATCATCTTTGATTAATTTCTGACTGTATTTAAACTGTTTACACCTTATAAACCATGATTCATTTCATAGTTTCTTCACTATCATCAAGAAGAATGTTTAAAGTTCTTTTGAAGATGTTACCTAGTTGCATACAAAATTTTGTTTATGCTTTGTGTCATTTCTCATTCATAAACTTCCTATGATATTGTTCTACAGCTTCAGTCTTATCAAGCTGCTTTCGATAGAAACAAAAAATATGAGGGGTAAATGCACAAAAAAAATGAAGTTGACTTATGAAGAATTGATGCCACAGTTTCACAATTACATATAATATAAAAAATCTTCCTTTTTTCCTCCTTCTTCTTCTCAGATGCTCATAGAGAAAAAACTACTCAATGTAGAAAGCTCAAACTTTAAACTTCTTTCTCATTACCACTGAGTTGCTTGCCAAACTTCCAGGTCAATATGCCAAAGTTCACAGGGGGTTTCCCATAGATCTAATTCAGTTTTGCAGCTTAATTTTATGCTTTTAAAAAGCTGCATGGAAACAAATGAATTTTATTCAAAATGTTACTCAGAATTAACAAAGCTCTAATTTATGCCAATTAAACTCTCTAAAAATTTTTCTAAATGGTGTATCAAAGTGTTGAGCTTCCACTGGACTGTTATGATAGGTTGGGTTGCAGCAAAGTGACAGTTTAAAATGTAAAAAATTTCTCCAAGTAAAAACGTATGACAATTTAAATAACAATCAAAATTTTTCTTGAGTTTTTCTTTGGTAAAAATAATCTTGGTGCTTGGACAAGGTTGTTACCTGTATTATTGGTTTCTACATTTTGTTTCCAAGCACCAAGCTCATTTTTACAAAAGAAAAACTTCCAAGAAAAATTTTGATTGTCATCTAAATTGTCATAAGTTTTTACTTGGCTAAATTTTTTTACATCTCAGATGTTTTTTAGGATAGAAATAGACAATGTGGATGGTAGCACCAATGGGTAAAAAATCCAGATGAATCATGAATCTAGCTTGTTTTGAAGTGAAAACCATTGTTTGTCACTTTGCCTTCAGGTGCCACCAGTCATCAGAATGATATGGTCTAAAATAACTTTCAGTTTTTTTATTTATACCAAGTTGTTCAATAAGTTTTGTTGTTCGATAAGAGATGGCGCTATTAGACCATATATTTATTTCTCTAAAAATAATACTATTATTTCATAAAAATGTGTCAAGTTTCAAGTAGATTTGTCAGCTCATTTGTATATTTGCAGCTGTTCAAAGTTGACATGTCACTGTATTTTTTCAGTGGAAAAAATTGAATATCATTATTTTTGGAACCAAAACAAATTCATGAACGATTGTTAAAAGTGTATAAGGACTCTTCCCCTTCAATTAGAACAGTATAAAGATGGGTTGCTGAATTTACGTATGAGTCTTGAAGATGATCCACATGAAGGACGTCCAAAAAGTGCATCAACAACAGAAATCGTAGCAAAAATACACCATATGGTTTTGGAAGATTGTTGATTAACTGAGAGAGATTTAGTAGAAGCCCTAGAGATCTCGTTAGGCAGTGTGAGCAATATTTTGGCTGAAGTTTTGGGTTACAGAAAACTGTGTGCACAATGGGTGCTGCATTCGTTAACTATGGAACAAAAACACATTTGAATGCAACTTTCTCAGCAACATTTGGAGCGTTTTAGAAAGGATAAAAAAGATTTTGTGCATCGTTTCATCAATATGGATGAAACTTGGGTCTTGTCTACCACCATGATCCTGAATCAAAACAAGAGACTAAGGAATGGTGTGAACCTGGTACTTCGGCTCCGAAGCAAGTTAGGGTCCAGAAATCGGCCAAGAAGGTGTTAGCATCAGTTTTTTGGAATGCAAAAGGAATTTTGTTTGTGGATTACCTCCAAACTGGTAAAACAATAAACTAAGATTATTGTAACCTTTTGGACCAGCTGGATGTAAAAACTTGTGAGAAAAGACCTGGTTTAAAGAAGAAAAAAATCATTTTTCATCAAGACAACGCACCCTCTCACACAGCTCAAAAAACCATTGCAAAAATCAGTAACTTAAAATATGAATTGTTGCAACATCCTCCCTATTTGCCAGATTTAGCTCCGACTTCTGGCTGTTCTCACATCTCAAAAAATTCATGCATGGGAAACTATTTTCTTCGAACTCTTCGTTCGATGAAAATCATTTCACATGCATGAATTTTTTGGTAATAGCAGCTGTGGAAGCGTATTTCGACAGTCTTTCGGATTCTCACTTTAGGGATGGAATCCATAAATTAGAAGATCACTGGAACAAGTGTATTGAAGTTCAGGGAGATTATATTGAATAATAAAATGTATTTCAAACCATAAAATTGTGTTTTTCTTATCAAACGACAAAACTTATTGAACAACCTAGTAATTATTAAATTTTTAATAAGAGATGGTGTCTAATGCCTATCTCTTGTATTTAATGTTTGGTTTTGACATAATAGTCTTCAGTTTGTAATAAATTTATTTTTTCATACTAACTATTTGACTGTACTAGCCATTGTACTCAACTATTTGAGTGTAATGATTGAAATGTTTGTCTGATATGTTAGACCATCTATTAATGGACCTAAAGTATAACAAACAAATGTAAAAGGGATGAGTAGATGCTTATATATTACACACTGTATGAAGTTTATGTACATTTAATGTTCAAACAACAAATACAATACAATCTCAGTAATCCAACATAGATGGGAGTGGGATAATACCAGATTAAGATTGTTAGATTATTGGAAGTAAAGTGAATTCTATGTTTAACCATTCAGAAAGACAATATTTGCTTGAATGTTATTTAACTAAATAATCGACACCTAAATGCAATTTCCAGCACATAATAAACACAAACTTACTGTGCAAATGTTTTCGGCCGTCATTCAGAGGCCCCCATCAGGATTGAATACATAAATGAACAGTTCTATCATTCAAAAATTTCTATCTTTCAAACATTGCTGTGTTCCAATCTTTTAAACATTTAAAAAAGGTGTTTGGTGTGCTGTTTTTTGCATGATATTTCTACAATGTATTAATCAGAAACATATACAGAATAGCTAGTAAATATGAAAGGAAGAAATCATATTTTACTATATTTTAGGGTTCTCAAATTAATTGTCAAGCCTTTAAAATTTTCGTTTGTCTTCTGTGTTTTGTCATCCAAGCATGCCATTATTGTCAGTAATCATCTTGCCAATTTTATAGTTTTCCACTGAATTCAGTGAGAAATTGAAGCAACCTCAAGAAATTTAGTGGTAGGTACAATATTTTTGGTGGGAAATTTTGAGAGACTGATTTTTGTATTTATACAGTATTGTGTTATAAAATACTGTGTCTGTTTTTTGAATGGTCTAAGATGATGAGCCTAACATCTATATCATGCCATGTTTAGTAGGTGTTCAAATTTGGGGGAACTGGAGTTCGAATTAGTACAAAGCTTGTCTATGATTTAGCAACATCTTGGTAATACCCGAAAGTTGACTAGTATCAGATTACAGATGAGTTGAACTAGCAAATGGCTGGATTACAAGATTCTGTACTATATTTTGATTTAACAGGTTATAAAATTGGTAAAATTTATTTTATAGACATCATCCTGTGATAACTTAATAGCTATTATATACATAAACATATAATAATTCTGTATTTAAACATAAGCTAAGTAAACTTGATTTCTCTGACTTTAATTATGCAATTTTTGAATTATATTGTTTGGATCAAGAAGTGGAAGATTTAATTATAATTATTAAAAACATCACCAAATGCTCAATTTAAATAATTGAGCTATAAATCTGCTAATTTAATGATTAATACTAAGTAATTTGCTACTAAAGTAGATGTTAGGCACATCTCTTAACTAAATTAATAATTATAATTTTAATAATTTAAAATAATCTGGAAGAAATTATTTAAGGCGATCCTTTGGTGATGTTTCTATATACATATTGGGTTTTGTGCTCTTCATTTAATTTAGAAAAGTAAAAGAAAATAATAGTGAAAAGTGTTTAGTAATTTTGAAACCGTATTGTTGTTTGTTTTGTTGTAACAGAGTGAAAAGTATGTTTGAATCACTTGGCTTTTATATATTGGGAAGATACATCATCTAGATCAGTGATTGATTCTCAACTTGGAGGGGGATAAGTGAAAAAAAATTAATAATGACTGATGTTACTATAAGAATATTTGGATTTTGCATTGAAGTCTTTCGTGATGTCATGACAGTCAAGGCTTAGTTTTAAATGAAAATAAATATAATTATATCTGTGTCCTCCCTTATCCATTTTTTGATTTAAAAGAACTTATTTACATGTGCACTGATCAAGGTACCACTGTTTGATAAACACGAGAAATAAAACTTAGGAAAGTGGGCTGTCAAGTTAAAAGGGTTGGAAACTACTGATCTAGATCATTATATTGAGTTTTGTATTCAGAGATTACATGTCATCTCTTACTGTATATTCGATGTCATTGCTTACAAATCTAAATTAAAGCCAAAGGAATCCAATAATTGAGCTAGTTTAATGTTATCTTTTAGTAATTACTATATAAAATTAAATGCTGCTTTACTGGAGTTTAAAAGTTCAGATTTCTCTTTCTCCAACATATCACATGGTTAAGTTTTAAAAATGATTTCTTGTTTGAAAGTGCTACTAGATAAATTTTTAGTTATCTAAGCTTCAATAAAACAGCACTTTTTGCTTTTTATTTGTATTTTGTGATGTTTTCTCTTATTATATGATTACAGTGTTTGCTTATTTATTGTTTTTTTTATAATTTATTTTCTTAATATTCTAGGCTGGGAGTTGATATTACCGAACAAGTAGATTCGGATAGTGATAACGAAGAATCTAATGAAGAATTGTCGTCTGACAGTATTAATGAAATAGGAGAGAAAAGTGAAGATAGTGAAAGGAGCCAAGATTCTGTACCACCTGTAAATAATTCTGTTTCATCTGAAGTTACAGATGCAAAGCCATCGTTTTCAAATGAGACAGATCAGTGCAAAGAAAACATGACTTCTACCAAATCCACTTCTGACAATTCTTTTGAATCTATTAATGTGAGTATACAGCATAAATATGTCTGAAAATAAATGTAAGATTTATTTTTAAGTAATTAAAATAGAGAATTCAAATTTATGATTTTCAAATGGTTCTTATAACTTTTCATTTGTAATGATCGGGTAGGAAGGAGTAGTTGGTGACTATAAATAAGCCTGTAATTTAACTGTATCTCTCTTCATAAGGACAATTGTTCTAACTTTATAAGCATCATATTGATGATTAGGTCTAAGTTTGTTTTCCAGCTTCTAGCACTAGACTCAGTCACAAGGGCTCATAAGAACAAATCACTTGTCTTTATAAAGAAAGAAGCAAAATTTAATTAGAAGCCTCTTTCATCAGGTCTGTTGAGTTATGAAACTTCAGACATTGATTCATTTATAAACCCCATTATGTATTAATGATGGCTAACCTGTAGTAGCATATTTTTATATTTAAATCTCATGATTATTGTAGCTACATGTTTACAGCTTTTTTCAATTTTCTTTGACATTTAGTAATTATATGATGATGATAAATTCAATAATGATTAAAATAATACTATTAAGAAACTGTTAACATATAATCAAGTTTTTAGAGTATGCATAAGAGGTTTGAATCTACACATTTACAAATTCTGACTCCATGAAAAATTGCTTTTTCTTAAGCTTGGTTTTCACATTACCAGAAAATATTTCAGGAATAGAAATGTGATGTCCCTTCCTATCTACAAACTTTCAATTGAATGGATTCTGGATGGAGAGATTAAAAATACTTTTATTGTTCCATTCCATTAGCATTTTATTTTTATACTACACCAATTGGAGTTTGATATTGTGATATAATTTTTATAACTGCTGGCAATACTATTTGACAGCTTAGTTTTCAAATTAAATGGTGGAAAGTAAGGACAAAAGAATTCATTTACGAGTGATTTTTAACTTTACATTCAAGTGAAAGATTTCATTTTGACAAGATATGCAGCATTATCAAAGTATTGTCATCAAATTTTTCTTGTTATTGTTTTTATTTTCCACAAGAAAGTCTGATCTTTCTGGTGCTGTAAATACAGAACATAAGGACAGAAAATTTTGTTTTGTTCCAGTTTTGGTTTCTGCTAATGTGGAAATGAAGCATTAGACTCCATAGTCCTGCTATTTAGTTTATTGATCATTTTCTCCAATGGTTAAGTGAAGAGTTAAGGTTTTCTAGATCAAGCTTGATTGCCTATAGTCCAATATATATGGACTATAGGCAGTCAAGCTTAATCTAGAATTTCCATGTTTTGTTACCTACTGTTTAGCAGAAAACTATCTTATGATGAATATAAATATCAAATAAACAGGAAAAAGATCTTAAAGTTGAAGATTAAGTTATATTTGTATCATCAAAAATACTAGTTATATCACTGCCATAAACTTAAAACATCTTTTGTTGTTCAGACTATGTTATAACAAAAATAATAACGTAAATGAACAGCTTTTAAATTTTAATATTTTAGGATTTAAATGACTTTTACTTAAGATTTTTCTCTATGTATATTACTATTGAGGTTTTGAGAAAAAAAAATTGATTCTAAACTCAATTTAAAGTCAATAAATACAACAAAGAAAAATTTTTATTATAGAAAATAAGTTATTTTTGGCTGTATTTATCAAGTAAGATTTGAATGGAGGCATTTGATGTCTTATCTATAATTGAAAAACTCTAAACATTTAGTAACTAAAACTTTTACAGTCAACTCGAATATCCATTCTTGAAAAATGAGGTTATCTGTTTTTCTAAATAAATTCTGGCACTACATTCCACCTTTTGCTTTAAAAGTTTAAAAATTTTGTGATATCCATCTCAAAATTTTACATTCAGTTTTATTTTTAACTTAAATTTCAGGATGCTAACATTCTTAAATGTAAAATTTATCTCCTCTGGTTTATTTCTTAGATTGATTAACTGCTCGAAAATGGAAAAATTCGTTCTTAATACTGAATTCTTTTTATAATTTTATTTCTACCTTAACTAGCAATTTAAATAACTTCACAAACTTTAAAATTTTAAAAGTAAAAGGAATAATGTATAGAATTTAAGAAAATATACAGATAACCTTATTTCAAGAATGTATGTTCGAGATAATGAAAAGGTTTGTTTGTGAAAAATTTTGATGTACTATCTACAGTTTACTCTTGCTAGCAACTTGCTAATGTTCTAATAGACATAAACAGAAAAATTACCTTTTTATGGAATGTAATTCACAAAGAAAACATTCTTAAGTGATAATGTAATTATGAACAATTGTATTTACAAATAATTTATTGTCAAGAATGCAGTTCTGTTACTACGGAAGATTGGAAACAATACAAACAATAGAATGGAAATCTCTAAAACTGCTGTCATCTTTACATTAACAAGAACCTCAAAATTATGGATTTAAAACAAAATAACAGCAGCAGCACAAAATTAAAATTGATGTTATTAAAGGACAAAATATATTCCATAATGTTTTTTGTTTTTTGGGGGGTTGGGAAATTCTGCGCATTTGTTTTTTGTAGTAGCTGTTTCTGTTCTGTCTTTTGTATTTGTTTCTATGCTTTTGTAGTAACAGAACTTTATGCCTGATGACAACAATTTGTGTTCGAGAGTACAAGAATATTAAAATTAACAGAAAAAAATGCTTTCATTTGGCATAGAAAATTCAAAAAATACAGAAATTTCTTAATATTAAAAATACCAAGTTAGAATTTTATTCCAAAAATTCTTACTCGATAAACGGTTTGGTAATTGTTTTTGGTTGAATTTGTTGATTTAAATTGAATGTGAAATAAATTTTTTTCATAATTTACCTTAGTAATTATATAAGCCAGATGTTAAAAACAATCCAAGCAAGTAAAAGTCTTATGTAAATTATAAAATATTTTTAGATTTTCAATTTAATCTTTTTTAATTTTAAGCATATTTTGTTTTTTCTCTAAGCCAGACAAAAGTTTTTGAATAAAGCTTATGTAACAGGAAAATATTAGATTTTATAGTAGAATTATTTATTCGTTTAGATTTTTATCATTAAAAAGTTTATGTATTTGTACATAAATTTCCATGCAGTAACTGTTAGTTTTTGTTTCAAACAGTTGGAATTAATAAGTTAAAACTTTTAAAATGTTTGTTTTAAAAACTTATTCTTTGAAATGAAAGAACAAAATACTGAAAACATTACAAGATTTTTGGATTAAATGATGTAATAATACAATCTGAATGATAAACTTTATCAAAAAAAAAAAAAAAAAATATAACATGTAAATCTTTTATTTGCTTTTTGGACATTTGGGCATGTTGTTAACGGACAAAGATGGGCTAAATGTATTTTAAATGCAATGGAGCTGGAAATTTTAGAACACAATTCTTTCAAATGAAAGTATAAATGAAGATTAAAATTAATCAATGTTAATAATTTATGCACACCCAGGATTATTATTTAACTTATAAATAATGAAGACAATATAAACAAGTTGCAGCCTTGTTTAATTTAAGTCGGTGCCGATAGCAGACATCTTGAAGATAAAATACTAAAATCTTCATATTTTATCTTTGTGTGTGTTATCAGTTCCTGACTGGAATTAGAAAGGCTGAAACTTGTTTGTATTGCCTTCATTACTTAAAATTCAATGCTAATATTAGAATTAATTGATAGGTTTTGTTCCAAACGGTTTGCTCGAAAGACTTCTGTATTTGTAACCAAGGTCTGTGCACTTTAACATTACGAATACAACCCGACAGGAATAAGTAGTTTTGTTTACCGAATGTGATATTTAAGGCAAAGTTTAAATCGTTACAAATTTGGGTGATTATATAAAGGACAACCCAAATTTAAAATGCTTTTATTAGAATTTTATTCTAATTTCAGAGAGGTTAAGAAGAACGTTTGTCTTTGAATTTAATGGTAAATTTAACTATTTTTTTTTTATCCTGGATTTGAATTTGAAACAATTCAAGTAAAGATATTTATTCTTAAAAACATGTTGTAATAAAACTAATACTACAACATACCACATCTGTTAATTTTATGACAACTATAAAATAGAATTTAATGCTTAATTGGAAGAGTAATCTTCTGATGAGCAATTCCAGAATTGAAAAATGGTTAAGATTTCAGACATTAAACTAAAGAGCCAAGTTGTTTAAGCTAAATTCAGTAAAATTGCAACAATTAAAAGCGGACGTAAAGTAGCTTGTAAAATAATCTAGTTCTTTGGTTTGTATTTGTCGAGATTTTACTCGTACACTTACGAAGATATTTTTATTACAAATTATTATTTTAGTTACAAAGAATTTGGTTTGATCTTGCAACCTGCATAAATGGAAATGAAATTTTGAAATGAGCTCTGTTCAAAGTTCATTAGTGATTATTAATTCTTTCTAGAAAGCTTGAATATTTAGAATTTAATTTTTCTCTCTACAAGTTAATGTAGCAATATGAAAAATTAGATTTAAATATTTCTACTTTTTTAAAATTACTGATTGACCTAAGAATTTAATGGCTAATGGTCAGTATGAATTCCAAGTATGTCCTAAATTTGCATGCATCATTGAGAGAATTTCTGTATCAGTGATATGTGAGTTTTATATTTGTTCTCTCCATCTCTACACTGCAACAAAATGATATCTTAAAATAAATATTCTGTGAAGCTGGGATTAGTTTTTCTTTAGTTGTAATTATAACACTAATTTTTTTTAAAAAATAAGTACTTAGTTTTGTTTCCTGCACAGAGGAGGAGATAAATAATACGTTTATTTTGTTTTAAAGTTAGCATTCATCAAAAGCTCTATTTACTCGTATATATGATCAGATCTCGACTGTTGTATTAATCATTAACATCTACTTTTAAACTATGTATTTAATACTTTCCCTTCTTGACTTTAATAACAATTTGGTGTCACAAGCTGCTGTCAGAGACTAATATTTCGGATCGGTTTCCACTCGGATCCGTCACAAGAAAAAGATTTTATTTATTCTAAAGTGCTTTCCAGGATGAATTCGTCTCTCTCGATTTCCATAAGTATTCAATTTCCTTAATATGTTAGAAGCTATTTTTAGTTGATTATAAAACGAATTTACTACCATTCGACCTGTGCCAACGACATAGGGGTTAAGGTAGAGGCTAAAATTGTTTTCTTCACAAATTTGCACCCCTAGTTAAATAACCGCTTTTTTAGGTCTCTCTTTACGAGAAATATGCAGTAATTAATTAGAAAATAAAATGAGAAAACAGTGTGTTTTGAATGTGTGCTCTTTAAATAAATTGATAGAGTGACGTTCGATTGTAAGAACTTTGATCTCACGAGGAAAATTTCACTTGTATTTTCAGGATTTGCAACCTCTCGATTTAATGTCCTACAATAGCGTGGAGGAGCTGGAAGCCCTAGGATTAGACCGTCTCAAATCTGCCCTCATATCCCTTAATATGAAGTGTGGTGGTACCCTACAGCAGAGAGCCCAACGTTTGTGGTCAGTTCGAGGATTGGAACCCAGTCAGATTAGCCCTTCGTTGTTAGCCAAACCTCCGAAATCAAAGAAATGATATATACATATATAGAATTATATATATTACTACATAAGACTGTGTATACGAAATTTTAGTTTTGTAAAAATACATACATAAAAAAAAAATTTCTAACAGAGGCTGCCATTACTGATTTAAAAGTACGACCAGCATCTACTGCCTCACTGTAAATAGCACTTCATGTAATCTGATTCGATTTATCTGTATAAATTTTAATCTTTGGTGTTTAATAAATTCCTTAAAAGGTAAAAGGACGTGGTATTTTTGGAGGAAAGAGGGAGAGAGAGAAACGTGCGCGAGAACGTGTAGAGGGGAGGGGGCCAAAAGAAAAAAAAACACGTGCGAAGGGGGCGGATACGTATGACCTAAACAACGCGTTTAGCTTATCTCTGCAGAAATTGCTTCGTTTTGGATTTACGTAAGGTCGTTAAAGCTATATTAAGCAAAAGGAGATTTTAAAAAGCTCCAGCGGTTGGTTTTGATTGTATTTTTTTTTTTGTTGGATGCGCACGTTCGACATCTTTTAATGTTCCGATAAGAGTGTGTCCTTACAAGAATTAACGTATCATGAGAGAATGCTATTTTTGGTTCAGACATCATCGCACTTGACACACGTTAGTGTTGATTAGAAAAGTCTGCTGTAGTTCCTTCTAAAGGAGAAGTATGGCTCCGGGTTCTTCTGGTCCTCTTCTTATACAAGTCGATTTTGAAGTTTTCGGGGACGTTCAAGGTAAACTTTTTCTTTACGTTCTCTTCCAGTATCGGTGCTTATCTCGATGTTATAAAGGGGCGACGTTTTGTAACTTAAGTGTTTTTTTCTCTTACTTCAACGCGGATTATTTTGGGTGTCGAATACGATCTTTGGAGTAATATGGATTTTTTTAAATTATATATTAATATGTAAAAACGAAAAGAAATTGAATTTAAAACTAGATTTTCTACGAAATTTAACCATAGATATTTTTGAAATTTTGTCAAAATTCTAATTTTGTTTTTGATATTTCTTTAGTAGACTAGAACAAAAATTGGGTCAGAAATGGATCGAGATCATTTCAGAAATATTCTGGAACGTGTTCAAATTCTAGAATTAAAAAAAAGTTAAATTTATTATTACGTAATGAATGGGTGTTGTAATTGTAAAAAAAATGATACTTTTTTCCCACTCTTTGCAGGTGTTTATTTCACAAAGGTAAGTTCTTTTTCTTGTGTTTAATTTAACGAATAGTATTTAAATCACCCCTAACAGCTATATATAGTAATTCTATATACGGGTAAGGTCTGATGATGTTGAATAACTTCCGTTCCGTTGTCGGTCGCTAGAATAATTACGCTTGACACTATCGACGGTAGTGTTTCGCGATGACACAACCATTGTTTCAGATAATTGACGCGACGTCTAAACAAAGTTTAGCTGTTCTACCAATTCGGCACGTATCTAACAACGTATCTAACAATTGTTCAACTGTAACACACTTAATTGCAATTTCTTTGTAGGAATCCTTATAAAAACATTAAATATTTAGTGTTTCTTACGAGGAATTCTGCGGTTGACCTTGAAAAAAGTAGCAGTAATTGCTTGAAATTTTGACCTTTTATGATCTTGAAGAGGCGATAAATTGAGGCATTCTTCTTGAAAAACATCAAATATTTGATGAAGAATGCTTAAAATTTTGATGATACGATCAAAATTTTAAGTATGTAAGACATTTAATGATAAAATTTTTCCAGTATGCCAAAGATATGTGCAACAGGTTGGGTCTGAAAGGATGGATTCGTATGAGTAAGTGGGGTACAGTCGTTGGACAGATTCAAGGCGTGAAGGATAGAATAGATGAAATGTAATTTTCTTTTTTTTTTAATTACGCATGCTGTATGTAAGAATTCACAAGTTTAAGTAGTGTTTTTCTGTAATTTATAGGGCTCTATGGCTAAGATTGCAGGGCAGTCCCGGTGCCAGGATAGATCAGTGTGATTTTCGCAACTGGCAAGTCATAGACACCATGGAGTATCGACACTTTAATGTCCGCTTCTGATTATTTTGTATACGGACAGAACCTGTGTAACACGTCCATCTGAAGAAATAAAACTGTAATTTACGTAAACCAGTGCTTTGAAGTATAAGGAAAACGATACTAGAAGACATTCTTTACCACAGTTTATTCCCATTGTATAATTTACAATTACATATATCACAATACAATAATTTATATAACAGAGCAACAGCTTTGATAATATCACAATGCATAGCGTTTAGAAGTTTTTTTGTTTCACCCACTTTTTATTTTTTAACAAAATTCTTATTTTTTAAGTTCGAATATCGAAAATACGATCCGTATCCCTCCAGCCTTCTAAATATATACAATCAACAATGGTTGTAACAATATATGTACATGAGTTTTTTTTTAGTGTAAACACTAACACGAAACTGGAGAGACGACCGCAGAAAATAGGATACTGTACAAATACATCCATAGATTTTTTTTTCCTTGAAGAAGAAAATTCGTAAACTCGTACAAAAACACACTATCAGGTAACATTATCCTCGTTGCATTTTTGTAGAAAGTGTCAGCTCGCAGTTAAGAAGTGTTTCTTTTTTTTTTTCCTAACCCTCTTAAACGTAATTTTCAATTGTTTTCACTTATTAAAAATATAATTTTGAGATTTGTATAGTCGTTTTGTAAGAGTAGTGTACATTTTTTTTTTCCTCCATTTGACGTCATTTTATACTGACCAATCATAAACAAGTACAGTAATGACGTATAAATGTACACTATTCTGACAACACGAATGCTCCTTTGTGTTTGTTTGTTATTTTTTGCACCCTTTTATAACTGATTGTTCTAATGCCTACTGAAGAGATTAATATCCTAGCAAATTTGCATTAATTTTAGCATTTTTCTAACATAAAAATTTACTTGTTTTCCTTATAAATTTGTTCAATTTATTGCTTGCAGGTATCGACAAAGCCTTGTTTTTTTTCTTTTAATACAAACGTGTGTAGGAAATAAATGAAAACAACCGTATCGTGAGTTGATATTCCTTTATAAAAGTCTTTGATTTAAAGGATTGTCTGTTTTCTAATCCGCACCATGCTTACATTTTGTTAAAATAAACGTGAATTCGCACCATTTAAACACCTGCAGACTTTAAAAAAAAAAAAAGCACTTGATTTTTTGTTGTTCATTGGCACATCTAAACTGCAAATTGCAAAAAATGGGACTTAAATCTAACTCTAGTGTGTGAATTTCTACAACATTTACACAAACAGCAAATGTATAGACAGGAATTTATAATTTTATTTCCTTAAATATAAAAACTTAAATCGTCGTATCATGCTAGCTTTTTTCTTTATCACATTTAATAAACAGGATTTTTGCCATTGTCCACATGTTTATGGACAGCAGGACTCGGTTAAGTCCTATTTTTTTTTTTTTTTAAAAACACAATTGAGCAGAATATCCAATTGTCTAAGCTATAAAATAATAAATTGGAATGTAAAAGATGCAAAATATTTTTATTTATATATATATAGATAAATAATTGAGCAAAAATATACATATATAATCAAGGGAGGTAGTGATTTTCTTTTGGAAAGAGAACAACTCCTCAACTTCTTGAAAATAAAATAAAATAACCCCTTCCTTAAGCAGTAGTGTTGCATTTTTTTAAATAAAATAAGCAAAAAGAAATTAACTTTGCCATGTGCTAATTAATTTTTTTTATAAAATGACAAATGTATTTTTTGATGTTTAACATGATGATAACTTTATAAAAGTTTAGAGATGATAAAAACACTTTTTTTTTGTTTTTTTTTGTTTGCTTTTATAAATATTTAAATA